GTTTTTCGTTCCCTGCATGAATGGCGTTTATCTAAACGGATCTGTGGTTTTTCTGAGGGTGTGAATGGATGTGTTCTCTCTGGGGTGGAGATATGTTTGGACATTGGAAAACCACTGATGCAGAGTATTTTTAATCAGGACCGGATATTTAGTAATCTCATGACCTTGTGATTCCTTGTGTTTACTGAAACAGAAGGCAGCTGTCGTTGGTTTAAGACAACGTTTAAGCAAACTGGCTCAGTCTGACGTCCAAGACATTGTTACATCACATCTGATGATCTAGAACAAATTCAAATGAGTGTTACTGCGCATTTAAAGGAACAGTGCAACTATAAATGTACAAAATCATTATATACTTCAACAGGAACGATGTTGTAGATGTCACAGCTGCACTTTTCCAAACAACAAAAGTCTTTATAAGGACAAAAGAAACTGCATAAAAAGTATTTTAAAAGTGGTTGTTGCGACTTGCACACTTCATTCAATGGCATCTGAAACCATATGATAGCTTTGTGTGAAAAAAGTCTGAAATTTAAGTAGTTTTTCACTGAAAATGTACCCATCCATTGTAGGGCTCTCATTTTCGCACATTCAAATATTGGTGAAAATAAATGTGGCATTAAAAGATAACATTAAAATATGGCAGAAGAAGCATGCATTGCACCAAGTTTGACATCACCACAAGACATCAACTAGTGATGTGACTCATTTTTACGACTCATACCTGATGCAACCAATTTTGGCAAGTTCCCACTTAATGCATCATATTAGAGATGTTGCACACACTTTTAATAAACACTTGCCTGGATTCCTGTGGATACTGAGCAATTTGAACACTGTTTATCTCTCTTTCAATGTACAAAGTACACAATGGGGAAGAGAGCACCACTTAGAATAAGCAAAGTCTTTGGGTGTTAATGCGTTCAAGTCTTTAATTTATCCAAAATAGCGTCAGAACGTACACATCTTTAGGGTTTGGTATGGCTGCACGCAGTAAATTCCTGCCGTTTCTTAGATTCCCGTTCGGCAGAATGTTTTATGTGCGCTTGAGAGTGCAAGACATGTACATCTGAAATCCATTAGTCCACAAGCAGACGCTCTGAGCGCTCTATTGGAATTCCAACTCGTTGCCAATTCCCTTTTCTTCCTTTACTCAACATTTCTAGCTTTGAGTAGGACCATGGATTTGCCTTCTGGGAACTTGTCGCAGAACTTGTCTGTCACTTGGTAATTTGAAGAAGCAATCTCATATAACACGTTTTATCAATGCAGAAGCTGTTCTCACGTATGCAATTCCCACTCATGCCTTAAAGGCGTGTGATGGTGTTTGGCATTGGAGCACGGCTTTGTTTCCTTTTTTCGGGATGACACAGGTTGAAAACAGCTTGTCTATGTCCTCCTTTCCGCCTTTGAAGTTGTGCATTCTTACCTTGCTACATCACGGGAGGTCTACAGCTGCCTCGGAGGAAGGTGAGGTTAGCATTGCTGAAACATATACATATAAAAAAAGAACAAGGTGTTTCGGTCAAGAACAAAGGGTTCTCGAGATGTTAAAGCACCAGAAATTAGAGTGACGTAAGAGCTTGCTCCCAAAATTCAAGGACTTTATGAGGTATGGTGGATTCTTTCAACCGATGATCACAAATTACCTCATTTCTTCACCCTTGTGTCATTCTAAACCTTTCCTCAAAAGAAGATGTTTAGCAGAACACATCACACTGTTATTTTCTATACTATTAATTAACTATTCATTTAAAGAGATGATCTATAATGCTTTTTTACCTGTTCATCTTTCTTTAGTGTGTAATGTTGCTGTTTGAGCATTTTAAAGTTTTAAAGTCCCTCCAGCGGGAGTTCTTCTCTATATCAGTGTCAGGGTTTCTGAACTCCTGAAACGCCTCTATTGTAGTCTTGAGCTTCTTCCAGAACGTACATGTCACAATATTCCTCATTTAAATAATTAATATGCAGAATAAAAGGGGCATGGTTGAGTTAATTAGTAGTGTGTTGAAACTGGCAGTTATGGGAAAGGGCGGGACATTTCCCCAACACACTCGAAGAGCTTGACCAATCACAACACACTGCTCCAGCCGATCAATCAGCTTTTCAGAAGGAGGGGCTTCATACACTGTAAAAAAATATTTTCAAGATTTGTTATCACAACATATTTTCTTTCGTCAAATCAACTTTATAATAATTAATTTAGTTGAGATAACTTATTATTTTGAGTTTCTGATGATTAAATTAATATCCTTCATTGTATTAACTCACTTTTTCCAGTTCAATCAACTTAAAATTTTAAGGCAACCCAGGTTACTTACTTTTTTAAGTTAAACCAACAATATTTTTTTACAGTGTAGTAATCACAACATTTTTTTTTCTTGTGTCAAATCAACTTAAATAATTTATTTAGTTCAGATAACATATAATTTTAAGTTTCTGATGGTTAAATCATTCTCCTTCATTGTATTAACTCACTTTTTCCAGTTCAATGAACTTAAAATTTTAAGGCAACCAGGTTACTTACTTTTTTAAGTTAAACCATCAATATTTTTTTAGGAAGTAAACAGAGCGTTACTGACAGACTGGGAATAGATGAGCTGCAACAATGGTGAATATGAGGAAAATAATCAACATTCAAGCAGGAAAACCTGTTTTAGCAGTGCTCGGAAACAAAATCAAGACTTTGTAAAAGAGCAGACCAAATTTACCACAAAGATGCTTTAATTTATACTGTCAAGTTGTTTCTCCCATGGCTTTAACGCCAGACCACAGGGTTACTAACAGGGAGCATCTCAACACTGAGTCACGCTCCACCCTGACCCGTGCGGTCACCACCACAAACCTAGACCTGGACCCAGTCCAAACATTATTGACTCAATACTTCACAACATATTATGTGAGTCAAGGCTACGACGTCAAATTGCAAGTTATTCATGACCCAAACAGAAAAAAAGACCCTTTCACTTTTTTTAACTGGCCTAGATATGTCCGCCAAAAACTGAACATATGTGCGTGCTTATAGCTTTCACAGAACTAATGTGCATAACATTCCCCATGTGGCTTGAATCAAACATCTTTCCAAAATAAATGACAGCGGTGTCTCACTTCTCCCTCAGTTGTGATGCTCTTAGACATACCGATAACAGATTTCATCTGAGATCTTTCATATATCAGGACCTACAGACGTATCTGGTTTCCTAACAAAATGAAACGGTTGCTCAAAAAAAATGAAATTCTAAAACAAAAAAATGGGAAAACAATGACTCAGATGCAGAATCTGAATCGAAGCAGCATCGACAGTGAGATTGAGGCTTTACCATTGTAAAAACAACCGGATTATCGTCTTGTTTGCGAAGTATTTGTCTTCCCTCATCAACACAGACTCCAACCGCAGCAAAACACCACCTCAAATCCTGCTCGTAATTATTGCCTTTCTAACAAATATGCTGGCAAAACACGAGCAAAACACAAAAAAGTTCTTTAACGCATCTTGAGAACACATTTTGAACTCTAAATATGGATTTACTAAAAAACATCCAGTTTTAAAAACACTTTTTTTCTTGGTTCTGCGAAAGCTACGGGAACATTCCATTTCGCGAACATTAATGGAATGTTGCTTTTGAAAATTCTCTGAGCGTTCTAAAACAAGAAGTAACATTTAAAAAAAATGTTAGACGAACTAAAGCGTTTCAGAAAAAAACGTTCCGAGTGTTGTTGACAACGTTATTAAACGCCATATAACTGAGTAAATGTTCTATTATGGAAGAATAACTTTGAGAGAACCTTGCCAGAAAGTTCCTGTTCGCAAGGATGTTATGCTAATTATTACATTAATCGAAAGCAGACCGTGTTCAGGATTTTCATATGTTTATAGTCGCCTGAGATTAGTCACAGAAAATGTCTCATTCTTTATCATCTTCCTGGAAAGACTCTGCGCCGCATGTCGCATCCTCTTTGGGCGCAAACACACTGTTCAACACAACCTGTCAGATGTTGAGGGGGAGTCAAAAGGAAAGGGAAAGCGGGTTCAGCGCACAATGTGGTTCTGTTTAGGGGTGAGCCGTGTGGGTCTTGGGAGAAAGAGGTCTCTGCCAAGAACATTGCTCCTATCTCATTTCGCTGCAAACAATCCGAGAGCGAGGGGGATCGGAAAACACGCCACAAATCATTTCTACGACCATGTATTTTACATGACGTAGGCGATTTAATCACAAGATGTGCTCCAACACAGTTCCGCGCTGATTTCTTCCATTAACTTTTATGACATTGGGAACTAACTTATTTTAACATAGTTTTTTCCCTTCTGAGAGATAAATGAACGGGTGATGGAGGCTGTTCTTGTAAATGCTCAGACAACAAAGGCATCTATGTTTTTCAATCCTGCAACGTTGACACTCACTTTGGGTTGCGCTCAGCTGTTTGACCACCCATGGTGGCGCGTCATCCTTTTAATTAAAATTAGGCAAGCAAGAACGAAACAGAGTGAGAAAACAAAGCTTTTCATCTTGTTGGGTTAAAACTGAATTATTCACCCTTTTTATGGAGCCTGAATGACCTTCCATCAGATTTTGACCTTTAATGGCTTTTGAGCCATATAACAATATATTAAGTTTAGAACAAGAAATAACTGTAAAACAACTTTTTTTGTATGTTCAATGGAAATAAAGTTTGTGTAAAACATAATGTGTTGTTGTATGCGTGTAGGCTATAGTGTTCATTACTTTTTCATTAATTATTAATATAGCAACCCAGTTAATCAATCAATCAATCTACTACATCAATTCAGTGTTGTTTGTTCTGCAGGAGAAATGTTGTAAATGATATATTTAACTTTTCTTTTTCATTCAGGCTTTCAGTCCTGTTAATAATGGTTGGTTGCAGAGCAGGGGGACAGTCAGTGGGTTCAAACCCCCTCCTCTTCAACCAAAGCACCTCCCCTCGACCTATCAGGGTAATTCACTTACTTTTCTCTTTCTCACAAGGGCTACAGTGCAGTTTTCCATTCAGGGGAACATATCCCGTGACAATAACGGACTCCTTCAGGCATTCCAAGACATCTGAGGTATTTCGGCTTTAATCTCTTGATTATTTATGCATCAGTTTCAACGAAGCGCGCATTATATGCACGCCGCTTTTAATTTAAAATTAAGGAAAGAATGGGATTAAGAAGTTGGCTTCTTTGCAAATATTTCATTTGAAGCAAAAAAAAAAAAAAAAAAAACGGGTGACGTAAACCGGCGTTTATTTCCCTCAGTCTGTTGACCGGCTAACTCAATTAAAACTCGAATGCAGGTATTATTCTGGTACATGACGGAAGAGAAATTAAGTTTAAAGGTGAGAAAAGTTTAAATATGAAAAAAAAAACGTAACTTTCAATGAGATTGTTAGAAATAGACGACTTTAAACTGTTTTCGTGTTGATCTGCAAATTTCCCATTGATGTTCGTGAAAATTGATTAAAATACAACAATTATCAGCGGAATATCGGAAGCCTTTTAAATGTTGCCTAACTGTTAATCGCGAAATCTGTCGTAAGGCATCGTGAAATCGCTTGACTCAGCAAACTCAACTTTTTTCTTGCTACTTTTTTTTTCTTTTCCTCACAAAGTAAACGCTCACGTGCTGTAATTTTTTAACGTTATAACTAAAGCTCAAGATGTTGAATTGTATCTCCGCGTCTGACGTCATTAATCGCGGAAAAGCGGACGATGTAATTCATAATACCTTCGAAAGATGATTGATTGTTGTCATTGATGTTTTTTTCTTCTTTGTTCGCGTCGCGATTAGCACCGCCCACCTGAAAATTCCTCAGACTTTCCCTCTCAGATTTACCAGACCTGTCATCATCAGATGAACTGATTTGATCGACTTTATCATAATCTTATCATTAAACCAACTTTTATCAAGTAGACGCAGTTTTTGATGTTAAACAATATTGTATTCAAAGTTCATCAGAATATAAATGTAGGCCTACATATAATGAATAAGCTCGTTCCTGTTTTATGTTTTTTCTTTTTGTAGCAGATCTGCCAACTCTTCAAACTTTCCTTCTCAGACTTACTAGCCTACTAGACTGTCATCTTAGATGGAGTACTGTAATTTAACTACCTTCTCATTAAACCAACTTTTTAAGGCTTTGATGTTTGTAAAAGCAACGTACAGTGCAACAAATATATATATTTTAATATGGAAAACCATTAAAGATTTGTGGAGAGTAGACATCCAGTTTACCTTTGTTAAAGTATGTCCTTAAGCAGTATGCCCACTTTGCAGAGGTTTTATATTTGCAGTTGTTCCTTAACACAAATATATCATGCTGAAAAGAAAACCGTAAAATCTCACTGTGTCGTTTTGCCACTCCCTTTCTGCCATGGCTCTAAATCTTTTGAGGCCCATTATTTATCCTAAAATCGTAGTTTTAATGAGCCAGTTGAGGACAAATCCAGGAGTCCAATCTTGGCCAGGAGTTGGTTATTTCTACAGCGAACGCACACTAAGACAGTCTAAGTGGGCCTGTAAAAGGATGCTGGCTGGCGCTTAAAGTGGCGTACAGTTTGCCTGGAATAATACTACACTTTATAAAAAAACTCCATCATCGACCGTGGGCGATTTATTGGCTAAATTTATGAGGGGGCACATTTGTTCGAATGTTCACTGTATATACGCCAAATAGACTAAGCGGTAAAGGTACAAACAATGAATATACGAATGCAAAGGTAATAGTAAGCTTTTTGTCTTCTCTTTTTACAGCCTTCAGCCTGAAGTGCTCTTGGATCACACAAGTTCGCATCAGAAGAGCTCATTGGAAAGGAAGAGTTTTAAGGAGTTAAGGAGTCGCACAGCAGGGGCCAATGGGAGTGTGGAAGCTGGCCAAGGTGGTTCTCGGATGGGCTGCGGTCTGGTGGGCCACGGTCTATTCAGTGCAGGCACAAGGAGATGGAGACATCCAGGCCAGCCGATTCACTGGAAAACCCGAGGGGGAGGTGCAACAGAGGGTCCGTCGGAGAGGCCAGGAGTCCCTCAGGGGGTAAGAGCTTTTTCAGTCACGTCCTGCTCCTGTTCTCTGTCAGTTTCATTCTTGAAGTGGACATGTTAATGGTTTAATCTTGAGGCGGAGGATTTAACTCAGCTGTTAAGAATAATCATTTCAGGGTTGGTGTATCTCATCCTAAAAGCTTGAATTCAAAGCTAGCATAACTTTCTTCAGACAGTGCAATAAATGCCTTTTTATGTTGTTGCTGCAGTAGATTTCTGATGCAACCTGCTGTGCTTTTTGGGTTAGAGCCAAACTGGGTTGAAAGCACGATTGGTCTCTAAAAAGTGTTATGAATACGCTGTGAAGGAATTTTAAGTACCGAAATGCCTTAGTGTGTTGGTCATGACAACAGGAGGGTCATTTCCAACTGATAACTTAAGCTGTTGAAAGACATTATTGTCTGGCTATCGCAAATTTTACGTCTACATAACTCCTAGACGAATGCATTGTGTTTTATGTCTCAAGTTTCTGCTGAAATTTGAGGTAAACAACACACTTAAAAATATATTGAATTGATTGTCCAAGCCCTCCAGTGCCTCTCAAACTTTGCATCTGCATTTGTCTCCACAAAGCCTAAGCTGTGTATTTTTCTCATTTTGGGGAGAACAATGGCTGTTTTGTGACGCGCTGCCCTCGTATGTTCGAAACGCTTATTCCAATCATCCTCTCATCTGTACTTGCTTATAACTGCATACTGCAACAGGAAATGAGGTATTCTGATTACCCGGCTGGGGTATTTGTCTTCAAGTAGGTGAGAAAAAGCATTTCTCCACAGAGACATGTCTCCAATTCATGGAGACCTTATTTAATCAGGAAAGGGGTTTACAGTTTAGGTCTGAAAGAAATCAAGATTAGCTCTGTGGTTAGCGGTCCAGTATATACTGAATTCCAGAAACAATAGCGACATTCTGTACATGTACACCAGTTCATGGTAATTGACCTGTATCGCACCCAAAAGTGAGTTTTCCAGGGAGAATCTGATCCGGTCCGTGAAGCAGAACCATGTTGCAGCAAGTCAATTGAGAAATGTGCCACAGTGCCCTTTTGAGAGCCAATGCTAAACATAAACTAGCCCAAAGGGATGTAGGGACTGTTTCCAGATTGTTCCCGTCTAACAATTCCCTTTGTTCATGAACTTAAGACCCTTCATAAAAATGGTGTAGCTGTTTTGTCGTAAAGAAAGGTCTAATCACGATCTGTAATCCTATTTACATACCAACACAGTACGCTGATTATAATGATGTGGCACAAAATTGCACATTTGATCAACTGCACATTTGAGTCACTGGCCAAGAAAGCCATGTTATCCAGGGTCAGACCGTTTAAGAGAGTTACAGTATGTGATCCGAAGCTTACTGGCTCTCCTTGCTAAGCATAATTTGCCTGTCAGATTTGAGTAGTCTGATCACATTGCATTTGGGGGCCTCTTAAATGAAGGTAAAGTCTGGGAGACTGCTGTAAAAGCAATGGGCTTGGGGTGAGATTATGATTCTGTGGTTCTCGTCTATGGATGCCAACCCTGACAAGTTTTGATGAGTACAAAGCCAGGCACCGTGCTCATGGTTGATGTTTTTAGAAGTGGCTTGGCCAGGGTTTCCCTTCATTTTCTCAACATGTCTCTGAGGCAATGTCAGCTCCACTGGACTCCAAAGATGGACTTGAGTTCTTCCAGAACGCTTGATGTTTGCATCCCAAGAGAGTTCTTTGTCTTGGATTTATATTCTTTTAACAGCTGAAAGAACATGCCAGTCAAAGGAAAACAATCCGTCTTGGACACCAAAGAGCTTGGTTGAAGCCAAAAACATTCTGTTGTGGAATTGTTCTTTCTTAGCCTGGTTAAAACCAGACCATTCTCATTTGTAACTGAGTTATGGTCTGGCAAAGCATCATTGACAAATCATTTCCAGAGGGGCGTCACCAGCGGACGTCGCGGGTAGATCTAAGACCAATCAGAGCGATTGATGCAGAGTGGCAAAGAAACATCTCAGAGTGTTGTTCTTTGCTCGGTTTTTAACAAAAAGGAAACGTTCAAATCGTGATAGCTGATTCGAACGAGTGATGTTCGCCGTCTCTTTGTAATGTAGGCTACAAAATCTGCTTCAAAATCCCAGCGCTGTCATCATCGTGTAAAGCCCGCCCCAACGTTTCTGATTGGTGCCGCGATTTCTGTGGAGTGGAAATGGGTTTGAATGAGCTCTTTGCCAGACTAACTTTCAGAGCAAATCTAAATTTGCCAGAAGTTGGTTTTCCCAGGCTAGTTCTTTCTTGAAATACATAAGGAATATGAACAGAATAAATGGCCCATGGAAATGGGGCCAAATTCCTTTCTAATATCTCTTGCAAAAATTACCCAACTGAGCCTTTTAATTTTTTTTCAATGGGGTTTGTCATCTAACCAGTGGAAAGGAAGACGCAGGTCTGATAAGTGTATCCTTATGTGTGCATAATTGCATGCCCAGAAATTCTTATCGTCTTATCAAATGTACTCAAAGTGTATTGTACCAAACAATAAAAAGCTAATTGCTCTCTGGTGTTTATTCACGATACCATCAGTCGCTCCAGAAAGTGTCTTGTAGACCAGCTTAGGCAAGAAAGACGTCAGTATCACATGGTTTTGAGACTGATGCATGAAGTCATATGGTGCGACCCCCTCTTTCCCCATTTCATTAAAAGTGTATAGTCTAGACGGCAGTGTGATTTGAGTTCATTAGGGCCAGGGGCTTGAAACAGGCCAAGTTGGACAAGGAAAAGGTCTTCGAGATCCAGAGGCTTTACGCACTGGGATCTTTGTTAAAACAACCATTAGCTCATTGGCTCTGGACTGGAGTTTGCGGCAATCGTGGGGGCTGGGAGCAAATGTCTCTAAAGTGACCTATAACCTCTTTAGGAGTGGTAACCGGTGGGATAGAATTGTGCTATCTTTCTACGCCCTCTCCATGATATCCCACAAGCCTCAGTGAGAGCTCCTGTTCAGTTTTTATGACCTCAAGGAAAACCGGCTGTCAAAGCACACCGGTTTCCTATCTCACTCTTGTCCTGACCTTTTACCTTACTGGAATTCAAGAATCCAGTATCGTAAAGTTGACCTGCTTTATCCGGAGATCTTTGGCAGAGAATTGCTTGCAAATCTCTTGCTCGAGGGCTGGTGGACCCTGTAAATGAAAAAGGATTTGACCAAGTGAAGTGAAATGAATTGATCCATGTAGCCGAAGAAGTCACATGGTCTTTCCAAGGTATTTGCCTTGTAGCAAAGAACCCGTTAACAATTTATATCTCTCTTTGAGGTGCCGGTTTGTGTTTGAGATGCTGTTAGTAGTGGTATATTTGTGGTACATTTAATAGTTTGCACAAGGAGCGCATGTTTGAAATGCATTTTTCTATGCTTCAGAACCACCCAAAACAGTATTCCAGCTGAACACACTGAAAAGCATTGAATTTACGAACGAAGAGATTGGTTTGCGTCCAGGGATAATCTTCTTGCCTTCATCCTGCAGGAGTTTTAGACTTAATTTTCAGGATCCAGTTGAGAAACAAGACTCGTTGGTTCCACACTGCTGATAATTCATCATCTTCTGGCCTAATTTCCGCTGCTGATTTTATTTTCAACGGCACCCCCCCCCCCCCCCCCTTTCCCCAAACTCTTCACTTCCACTTATTTTCTTTACCTCCCACTGATTCTTGCCCTTTCCCCAGCATTTTCCGTTTTCATGTTCCAACATCTAGCCCTCCATTGGCCTCTACTCTTCCGAGTCCTCCACATCTCTCTTGGTTTTTGCTGTTAGTGGTTGTGTCGTCTGGCAATGTGTTTTAAAATCCATCAAAAGATTCAAACTACAGCTGGTTGTCCCCAGGTGACTGACATTAGTAAACATCTTGACTTGTAGAGGAAAGGAATTTATGCGTGTGTGTGTAGAAAGACAGATGTACCTTGTGGGTTTTTTTTTAAGGTCCATTTACGACAGGCTTAACTTGGTGCTGATAGAAATAAAACTGTTTTCACAGTGAGTGTCCAGGTTTGACAGAGATCCTAAAGGCTTATTGGAAAGAAACTAAGGGCGATTTGGCTTCAAGCTGTCAATTACCACTTAGTCGTCCTGGATCAAGTCATATACACTAAACAGTGAGCCCCAAAACATGGCGCAGGGTTTGTTCATGAGAAGCACTGAACTTTGGGCTCGGTCCTGTCATTAATCAAATATATCATGACTAAGACCGACGCTTTTGTCTCTGTGAGAAAGTTGCCAAAAAACAGCTAATGGATGAATGCAATTGGGAACGTACGAGTAGCTTTAGTAAATATTTCTATCTCAGGAAGTTTAGTTATGGTCCTACTCAAAACAAACTCTTTTTTTATGTCGTTTCCCGGGAAAATCCTTTGGGGTCATTGTGTGCATTGAGCCTGATTTACTGCAAAGGGTCAGAAGGTCTTTGAGACTGCAGATATTTCATTGTGTTGTATGTTTCTTAGCTTTCTGTAATTTAATGGACTTGTTTCCGTTGTTTCAGGCCCAATGTATGTGGTTCCCGCTTTCACTCCTATTGTTGTCCAGGATGGAAAACCCTTCCCGCAGGGAACCAGTGTATAGTTCGTAAGTATCTGTTTGTTTGTTTGTTTTTTTAAAGATGCATGCCAAAGATGCCATTTAAACAATTATCTACTCACTTACAGTACACTCACCACAGAGTTAGCGTTTAGCCTTAGGTTAACTGTGGTTAAGTGCCTACAATGATAGCAGGGGATTTGACCCCAAAGCCTTAAACCACAACACAACCCCCAAAAGATAGAGGCTTAGCTTGGGGAGATAAGGGAAACACCCACCAAGACCCAGGCTATGTTTAGTATACACAGTATGCATATACTCTCTACTTTAAAGTGTTTGTGTGCAACGAGTAACTTAAAAAAATTAATTAATTTAACAGAATTAATGCTTCTGGTGTTTTTGCATCCATTCAAATACCAGCCATCTTGGAAAACTACATGATTATTTTATTCTATGCATATATTGCACTGCATTTCTAGTTGGAGAATAGGAACATACTAAACATAGCCTTTTGTGGGAGAAAAAAACTAATTTAAACCCAGCCTGACCACCTAAAGAACTGACCAAAACCCCATCCTGCTAAACCAGATATGAACCATCTTAGTCCTAAAGATGCTAATGATTAATACTTCTTCTGTGCTATATCTCTGTTCAGATCAAAAGGCCTTTGCTAAGCACTTCTCATGAATATTTTTGCCTCTCCAGCAATCTGTAGGAACTCGTGTGGGGATGGTTTTTGTTCGAGGCCCAACATGTGCACATGCTCCAGTGGTCATCTTGCCCCTAGCTGTGGGGCGGCCGCAGGTGAGTTCAGTCATTTCGGTCTGCTTTTGTTCTCTGTTGGCCATTATAAAAACACATTATGAATCGTTAATTGCATTAATTTAGCATTTTTGGGTGCTTTTATTCATAGGCGTAGTTTAGAAATAGAGAAACATGATATGAAAATGACTTATAATAACAATGTTTGGAACATGTGTTCTAACCTCTAGTGCTCTGACTTTAGATGTGTTTTTTAAAGGTACACTATGTAAGAATAGAGTACTTAAGCTGTCGTAAAATAAGGTGTGGCCCCTTTAAGAGCTACACGCTCAGGGTTAATTCTATTCGATGCTCATTCTTATCCTATTTTAAGTGAAAGCCTGAACCAGTGAGACTATTGTCCGTTTTTTTCACGCGATAAGTTTCTCGTTTTCTTTTCCTTGACTCTTGCGAGCTTGTGGTCACGTGACGCTCGTAAAGCGATACGGTCTCCAGGCATTCAACAGGACACATGACGGTCCGTCTTCTCCAAACTTGCATAGGCGCTATTTCAAGAGGAGCATTGATAGTGTCAAGAGCTCTGTATTGGCCTGAGGAATCATTTAAAATAACTTATATGCGTCAACTCTTTTGGTCAAAAGTTACACGGTGTGCCTTTAAAGAGAAACTTTTATGCATTTTCTCAATTTTATAGTTCTTCTAGTTTTATAGTTACACAAAGTCCCTCCAGAGGGAGTTCTTCTCTATATCGGTGTCACTGTTTCTGAACTCCCTGAAACTTTGTTTTTTTAGGTTTCTTCTGAGGACGAACACGTCACAATATTCCTCATAGAAATCATTTAAACGCAGAATAAAGGGACGGGGCCTGTTTGAGTTAGTTAGTAGTGTGTTGAAACCAAGCAACAACCTTTTGGTCCCTCTCTTGAATCCAACACGGTAGTGACTTAAACTGCAATTCATCGACTGGCCACTAGAGACAGGCTGCAAAAAAAGCGTCAATCCCATAGACCCCTAATATGACGAAAAATGTGGTTTTGAGAGTGACGCGCTGCCAAGATGGCGACAACCAGCTCCGCCCACTTTGGGCTTCATAAATGATCTTCAAAAACCTACGGTTGACGTTATTTTTTACAGTCTATGGTTGAAACTCGCCGTTGTGGTAAGGGGCGTGGCGTTTCCCAAGAGCTAGACCAATCACAATACACTGGTCCAGCTGACCAATCAGAGCACATCGTGCTTTCAGAAGGAGAGTTTAGGTCTCCATAGAGACGGGAACTAAACAGTCGTTACTGACAGACTGGGAAGAGAGGAGCTGGAGACAATGGAGATTATAGGGAAATCAAGACTTTGTAAAAGAGCACAATAAGTCCTCTTTAATGATTCTCTCTCTACTCTGCTTACTTCCTTTGTGGTTTGAAGGACTTTAAACGTTTCTTCGACATTTTCAGTGATTTATCTGGATACAGATGGCTGGAAATACTGTGAAATTCTTCTCTGACAGCGTGTAGTGTTTCGTCCACTGAATCATTGAGCTAATGTCAAGCTTAGAGTGTTTTCTGTTGAGATATGTTAAATTTAAGACCGCACGTCTGCTTTTTTTTAACAACAGACTTAGAAAAACGTGATTGATTGTGTTTAGATGGCACTGGGTAAAGTAATGACTGTTGGTTATTCATGGATGAGGTGTTTAGCATTAGCGCAGGTTTCTCTTACTGCACTTGCTCTCTGCCAGCCGTTTCTCAGCGAATGCCCGGAATATGTGGTCATAGACAAATAAACCCAAATGCACCAAACCATAGGTTTCGGTCTCGTAAGCTGTAAACCCAGAGTCAATTTATTCGCCAATGAGAAATTGACCATCTAATTTAGCTGCCAGTTCCTTGTCTGTTTGAAAGCAAATGCTAAACATACGCTCGTACTCTGTTTTGGCAGCCTTATGGGATTTGCGAGATCGGTAATGCTGTCATTACGCCCACCCGACCGCGTACCGTCTGCAGTGGTTGGGAGCGGCCACATTTATGAGTCAGTTATGAATCTGCAATTACTCCATAAATAACAAGCCGCCACACAAATGTTAGCATCCAAAACAGCGCTATCCTCTTTCTCTTCATTATTAGCGTCTGGTTACCATACGTCTCAATTTAAGCCACTTTTAGCAATATTATTTTTGTATAGATTTTTCATTTCAGTTTTAGTTATTCTTCTTAAACTCAGTGTTTTTTTAGTATCATTGAGATGCTCCGCTTTCCTTTTAACGTGAACTTGACGTTGACAGGCCACCGAAAGAAAGAAACGGCCATAAAGGACCTCTGTTCCTCGGCCTCGCTCATGTTTCCTGCCGACAGCGTAGCTTGTAAAAAGCTGACAGATGTGACTGCTGCATACAGAGGTGCATTGTGGGGTGGGAGCGTTTTGTGTGTGTGCTAGCGTGAGCGCTTCAGCACGTGCAGCTCACTTAGCATGGGTCAGCGAGCGAGAGCGTCGCCCCTCCACCTGTAGGGGGCCGTCAGCAGGTCTAGCCGATGAAGTCATTTCCTGTGCTTCAGGAAAACACGGCCAGTGCGCAAACATTTACAGGCCTTGCTGTTGAAAGCATGCCATCAGTGAAAAAAAAACACGTTTGATCTCCATCCAGCAGGATTTTTCATGTGAAATCAAATAAAAATAGGCCAATTTTTAGAATAAAAACTTTCAACTTTTAGCCTTTTGTTTTGGTTTATGTTCATTTGAAAGGATTAGGTCATGGCAGGCGAAGATGAAAGGAATAAATGAGAAACTGCTATATTTACATATCTTTGTCTGGGATAAGTAGTAGGTTGAATTATGTTCGGGCTGAAAGGTAATGGCACGATGCCTTTGTTTAGACAGAACGAAAGAGCTTGGCAAGAGCAACGTTTTGATGCGACCAATTGGAAAATCAATCTTTTTTTTAAAACTCATCCCATGATTAATTGTGCTTATGTCATCTGTTTTTTCTTCTGAGTGCAATTTTAAATCGCAATACACAAACTCTTTGCTAAGTGATTCTGTCTGTGTCGAGAGATTTCCAATTTCGTGAAAATTGCTGGAAAATGAATCTACTCGTTGAGGATGAAAATAGGTTTTTGTTGGCCAAGAGTAGTAAAATTACTCTTACCAGGAATTCGAATTGGGACTTGCTGATATTGGAAAGACAATAAATAAGAAGTTTAGTACGTCTTGCTCAAATACATTCTGTAAACATCACTAAGGTTACAGTGAGGTTACAGTAAACTGATCAGTGTAATGGCAAATGTAGAGTTAAAGAACTAAAATCTAGTGTAAAAAGCATTTCTCACACAGTTTTTCATGATCTTTTAATTCAAGAAAAGAAAATTTTGGTGAATATGTTTAAGGGATGACATGAAAAAATTAGTTTTGAATCAATTTCAAATGCCTTTATCCAAAGCGTCTTACAGTAAAGGAACATAATAATGCTGTTTTAAAATAAACCTAATTTAATTTTTTCTACTTCAAATGTTCATGTTTAATTCTATGTGTTACTTGCTGTTTCTTTGTAATTACTTACTAGCAGTAAAAACTGATTTAAAGTTAACCCTACACCAACTTTATTTTCAGTACAGATGCAACAATATTCGTAGTGTACTATGCCAAGTTTATAAAGCAGTTTGAACCAATCCATGGAAATTAATCAAATTAAAGCTCTAGGACGAGTTAGATATAGAAATTTCTGAGTAAGAAGAATAATAATAACTAGAAAAAAAATAAAGAAAGAAAGAAAGAAAGAAAGAAAGAAAGAAAGAAAGAAAGAAAGAAAGAAAGAAAGAAAGAAAGAAAGAAAGAAAGAAAGAAAATGATTGGTTAGAAACAAAGGAAAGATTAGTTCGAAAGAAAGATAGATAGATTAGTTGGAAAGAAAGATAGAAAGATTAGTTAGAAAGAAAGATAGATTAGTTAGAAAGAAAGATAGAAAGATTAGTTAGAAAGAAAGATAGAAAGATTAGTTAGAAAGAAAGATAGATTAGTTAGAAAGAAAGATAGAAAGATTAGTTAGAAAGAAAGATAGATAGATTAGTTAGAAAGAAAGATAGATTAGTTAGAAAGAAAGATAGATAGATTAGTTGGAAAGAAAGATAGAAAGATTAGTTAGAAAGAAAAATAGATTAGTTAGAAAGAAAGATAGATAGATTAGTTGGAAAGAAAGATAGATAGATTAGTTAAAAAGATTGATAGATTAGTTAGAAAGAAAGATAGATTAGTTAGAAAGAAAGATAGATAGATTAGTTGGAAAGAATTTAAGAACGATAGAAAGATTAGTTAGAAAGAAAGATTACTTAGAAAGAAAGAAAGAAAGAAAGAAAGAAAGAAAAAGAAAGAAAAAGAAAGAAAAAGAAAGAAAGAAAGAAAGAAAGATGGATAGATAGATAGATAGGTAGATAGATAGATAGATTAGTTAGAAAGATAGATAGATTAGTTAGAAAGAAAGATAGATAGATTAGTTGGAAAGAAAGATAGAAAGATTAGTTAGAAAGAAAGATAGATAGATTAGTTAGAAAGATTGATAGATTAGTTAGAAAGAAAGATAGATTAGTTAGAAAGAAAGATAGATTAGTTAGAAAGAAAGATAGATAGATTAGTTGGAAAGAAAGATAGAAAGATTAGTTAGAAAGAAAGATAGATAGATTAGTTAGAAAGGTTGATAGATTAGTTAGAAAGAAAGATAGATTAGTTAGAAAGAAAGATAGATAGATTAGTTGGAAAGAATTTAAGAACGATAGAAAGATTAGTTAGAAAGAAAGATTACTTAGAAAGAAAGAAAGAAAGAAAGAAAGAAAGATGGATAGATAGATAGGTAGATAGATAGATAGATAGATAGATAGATAGATAGATAGATAGATAGATAGATAGATAGATAGATAGATAGATAGATAGATAGATGTTTTTGGCAAGAAGCTAACATGATTAGCATGTAGCTAGCTTGATGCTAATATGATTTCCAAGCCATTAATCTGTATAATTTTTGGGGTATTCCTGATTCCTAAAGTTATCTGCGTGGAAGGTGCATTGTTATATTGAGCACTCCAGATGGTTTATAATCACCTCTCTTGTCTCTGTACAGTCCAGTCCTGCAGCGTCAGATGTATGAATGGAGGGATCTGTAATGAAGACGCCTGCTCGTGTCAGAAGGGCTACACAGGAAATCACTGTGGACAGCGTAAGTGAACTTACACCCTTTCAGAGCGTCCAGACATCAGCACATACCTGAACAGACACACACAACAATAGATGATTACACCTTCAAGAGTTGGGCTTACAGACACGAAAGATCTCAGAATGCGTTTAAACTAGGGTTAAACGCGTTATTAACGGCGTTAACGCAAACCCATTTTAACGGCGTCAAATTTTTATTGCGTAATTAACTGTCTTTTTGTCCTAGCAAACTTTGTAGTTTTGTCACATCCTTTTGCAAAAGGACGCGGCATGTGCGGTGTTGCGCTATGAAACCTATTAATTTAAATGGCTTGCATCGCGAGAGGACGTTTTGTTGCTTCGTCGACCAAACCGCAAGCGGATCTAGCTAGACCGGAAACAAAACAACAGGCACGACACCGCACACACTCGTTTAGGCTTGCGAGACGGCCAAATAGTAGATTACCGTTACGTTTTGAGTGACGAGCGCAAGACGCCGAAATGGATGCCAATAAGTTTCTGAATGGAAATTTTACTTTTAAAAGTTGCCATATTCCATTGTCAAGACCAAAGTGATCTGTGTGTTTTGTTGTTGTGAAATGACTGAGCTATTACACTGTAAAAAAAAATTGTTGGTTTAACTTAAAAAATTAAGTAACCTGGTTGCCTTAAAATTTTAACTTGATTGAACTGGAAAAAGTGAGTTAATACAATGAAGGAGATTGATTTAATCATCAGAAACCCAAAATAATAAGTTGTCTGAACTAAATAAATGATTTAAGTTGATTTGACAAAAGAAAAAATGTCGTGATAACAAATCTTAAAAATATTTTTTTACAGTGCATCATCGCAGCACGTCCAGTCTGAAACATCACTTGATGATGGCGAAATCATGATGAAAAAGACATTTCGAACAGATTAAAATGTGCGATTAATCGCGAGTTAACTATGACATTAACGCGATTAATCGCGATTAAATATTTTAATCGTTTGACAGCACTAGTTTAAACCCAACTATATCTTCATCTCTAAATGCAAGAGAACTTCAACTTCCAACCTGTGGATCACTGAACTATTAAATTAAATAAATATTATCCAATGTAGACCAATTTTGCAACTTTCTGCAGCTGTGTGTGAGAGCGGATGTCAAAACGGCGGACGTTGTATTGGACCAAACAGATGTGCCTGCGTCTATGGTTTTACTGGGCCGCAGTGCGAGAGAGGTAAGCCACTGCTATCCTTCCAAAGTTCATATTTTCTCAACTCTTAATTGTGTTGACGTCTGTGAGGATGTGCGGTTTGTTTACCGTCTCAGGCTTGCTTCAAGAATGTGGTAACAGTGTGTCAATGTGACCCAGAAACGCTCAGAAGGGTTATTTACAGTAGTTTTGAGTCAGTGTGCTTCCCCCCCTTCACCGTAGCTAGTGTGAAATTAATTCTACAGTTTACATTGTGGCCACATCTCTCAGAGCTGGAACAGTGAGGTAATCTGGGGCGGAAAAAAAAGGCCTCCCTCATGGGTGCTCAAGACGTTCTATCAGAGGTGAAATCCTTGGCTGGAGTTATTAGAAAATGACAGACTGAAAGGACCGTAAAGGCAGTTCCCATCAGGCCGTGTGAATTGTGGGAGAGGAGCGCCCCAGGCACTCTAGACCGAATACCTAAGCCCTTTTTCTGTACCCCACCCTCTTGTGTCTGGCTCTCTCTGTAACCCCACCCCTTCACGAAGTCCCCTTGTGCAATCGTAGGCCGGTTTCCTTTGAAAACCCAACACGGGGAGGTGGAAAAATTTGGGAGACATCTGGCAGTAGATAAAGTAGGGTGGAAATGACAAGGGAATGTTTCTGTGTGGAGCCGTAGACTATCCTGACAAGTAAGGGTGGTGGTCTCTAAGAAATGGAGACCCAAGCTGTGTATACACAGCCAGGCCTGAACTAGAACAAACAATCTCTTGACATGGAGAGAGCACCATCCCCGGCAGCTCTCATCTCCGAGACCCCCAGATTCCCCCTCAAGGTCCTTGATTCTAGGATGTAAAAACGTCCCAGATTCCCCCTCAAGGTCCTTGCTTCTAGGACTTAAAAACGTCCCAGATTCCCCCTCAAGGTCCTTGCTTCTAGGACTTAAAAACGTCCCAGATTCCCCCTCAAGGTCCTTGCTTCTAGGACTTAAAAACGTCCCAGATTCCCCCTTAAGGTCCTTGCTTCTAGGATGTAAAAACGTCACACCAAACAATTAACTAAACTCTTTATTTAGCCTGTTTCAGTCACTCTTGTTTATCATCAAAGGACTGCTTTTCATAGAACTGATGAACTTCCAAAAACATGATGCAGTTTTTCGCAAAAGGCCTGATGTCAGTCGCTCTATTTGGTTCTTACGAAGAAGCCAGAACAGTCTTCCAAGAAAGAGGTAGTAACAAAGAAATTGGATCCTGAAAACTGTGCAGCACAATAGTTGGCTGGCGTTTTTGGAAAGTCAGAGTTTCTGCAAACACAGTGCAAGCTCAGCTGTGAGTCAGGCACGGTTTATAGGGAGAGTTAAGCAAGTTAACGGCGAGAATGGTGTTAGTCCCATCTAATTAGTTTTCTGTGTAGCTACGCGTGCTCTTACAGCGGCCCACACTGAAGAAAGACATGCATAGTATTCATTTCACTATCGAAGGGTAACTTTGCTCAAGGGTGTGGTCATTTAAGTCCATTTAAGTTGCATCAATTACCACTGGTTTGGCGCAGATGCTATTGTTTTTTGTGTGATGCAATGGATTCTACAGAAAAAGGTTTTTCCGAGCAATAAAGCGTGACTAATCCTCCTGTAACCACAAGAGTATGAATGAAAGTATTAAGGGCTGAGGCTCAGTGGATTTGCTGTGGACTGACTCATTTGGGAGTCATAAAACTGTTGAAACCTTGACTTGTTGGATGTTTGTGACAGAGATAAGATGTGAGGAGATTGCCTGATTTAGCCATACTGTAAATCACTGAGCAGTAAAAGAGTTTGTTGAAGTCGTTCACGAGCCCCTTTTTAGGTCGAACCCCTTTTTTTCTCCAGACCTACATGAATGAACTTCTGCTTCTCCCCAAGTGAAAACACATTTCTTATATTGGTGTGTACTCTGATTAAACCAAAATAGGTCACAACAAAGTGAGCGAGCGACTTTTCCCAGTCATTGAGCACGTTTTTGGCTGCGTTTGAGGTTTCCACCTGCAGGCTTAGCGCTCCAGACTAGATTAACTTTCCTTTGGCTGATTTTTCATATCTTAGAAGGTCTTTCATGACAGTCTACTCCCTTTCGGTCCATTAGCACTGAGGATGATGAAAACACGCCAAGTCGTTGGAGTGTGAAGAAAGCTGGAATTCCTCCTGCCAAATTACGCTGCCGGACAAGTGTGAATGCCACACATCAGCTACCTCCCGAGGCATCGTTTTTTTCCCCAACTTGCCTCATGATTCATGATAATCAACGCTGCTAAATAGTTGGCAGACGTCGCTGGCAGGGAAACACTGGTGACTAAATGGAAAGTAGAGGTGAGTGAGTGTTTGGTGGGATAGGGTGTAGGTGAATGGTTTTGATCTGACAAGCCACTTGAACTGTAATCAAGGCAAAATTACTTCCGAATGTTGTCCGCATCACAGACACATCCCCCCGTCTCTGGAATATGAGTCTGCTTGCTTCTGGGAAGCAAGGTCTGTGCACTACTTCCAAGTTTGCTAACGTGACATTGAGGTTAACCGGTTTCCCTTTTGCCTTGCTGATCTATTGCTATTGGAGAGTGCAAGCTCAAAAGAGACCAGTCTTTAGTGTGGACCTACCGAGTTACACTGCGTATTTTCTTATGGCTGTGTGCACGTATAAACGGTGCTGTGCTAAAGTCGGCTGATTCAAACAAGGCGACGGTTTCCGACTGATGTTGGCTGGAGCTTTCAGACTCCCAGGCTCCAGTTTCATTGCAGATCAAAGTTTTGTTAGATAGACCTAATGTTCTCATGAGAGACGTTCTCAGTTCTTCATTATTGTCCTTCAAAATGGATGCAACTTATGGCATCCATGTAGTCCTCCACCCTAACTACTTGGATGTCCAGATCAAGCGTGCCGCACAAGCCCTCAAAAGTGAAGCCAAAACGTCTTGATCGCCCCCCTGTGGTCGGTCCTAGTATAGCTCATAAGCCCCGCCTCCCCAAAGATAGTTTCTGTCACTTACTGTAGTTTCTATCACGTTGATTGTAATTTCAAGTGTTCGTTTTTAAAATAAGTTTGTTTTTAGTTAGTTACGTGATGATAAAATAACGGTGCTCTGACATCATGATTGACATGATGTCAGAGGTTCTCTGTGCGAGGTAGTCACTGAAGCACCAGCGGACTTTTTTTAATAATGTTGATTATGTGGTTAGTAGCTGTATTTACCTTATTTTAACGAGGTTCTGCAATCAGCAGACATCATTGGAGAAGAACGAAGCAGATAGAGGACACTTCATGAAAGTGCGGGCGTGTGCTTGCGTTTGATACAGCGAGAATGAGGGCGCGGCCTTGATTTCGCGGCTTTACTTCCTGCTCACGACTGCGCATGACTGGTCACTGCGCATGTCAGCGTCATATCGAGACACTGGCAACCTCAGTTCTCTCTGATGGAAAAGAGCGAAGGGGCGTCGTCCATCTTTTTTTACAGTCTATGGTCCAGATCAACCCTTTTTTTCTTTATGTACATAACTCGCTATTTATATGTGATTCACTACTAGTCTAAAGTCCCTAGGTTGTTTTTGCTTATAGCCACTTAAACTCACCTATAGCACTAGATTTGTTTCTTCCCAACTTCTAAAATGACCAAATCCATAAATCAAGATGATTTGGACTTTATAGATGCATCCCAGAAGGCTTTACCCATATGAATATCATCACTCACAGTAAGAGCCAAAGTTGCAATATAGAGAGGCTGATGAATTGGCGTATTGGATATGCATGGACACATCTGGGACTTAGCTTGTCCCACCATAGTCCCGACCAGGCGCAATTCATCAATCCCAGATGTGCATAGGATGCTCGCAGTGGGTCGCCTCAACTTGGAGAGGACCTGCATTCCTGGACTCAAATTGTCCAGGAAGAACGTCAGGTCAGGGGATCGCAGAAGAAGGGACAGTGAAAGGATTTAAAGACACGTGAGGAGGATATCTCTATAGTCCTTCTTCCTTTTTTTCTTCTCCTCTTGACCTAGTTTCTCAGTGCCATTTCCCCCCCTCTTGGCTATGGATATAGGATTTAGCTTTTGTTTCGCATGCAATATTATGAAGGATACGGAAAGATTTGTTCATTCTCTTGAGGAATGACTGGGGAGTCAGGAACTCATTCATATCCCGCCAGAGTAAACCGACTCTCGCTGTATAACGAATGTGGGATTTCGTTTAATTACATTTTCGAAACATACTAGCAAACACTCGGAAGATGCATCAGGGCATTTGTTTGAGCTTAAGATGAGTTTTACTAAACACTGAAATGATTGGGTCCTTATTTCAGTCTCGAATTGGTTTGTTTGAAGCTTAAAACATTGTTAATGAGATTGAAATGTCTCAACTGGCAACCAGCACAAAGGTCCAAGCAAATTGCCAAATCTCCAAATGCCAAAACAGCGCTAGTACTACTATCCTACATTTCGACCTCAGCCAAAAAAACAAGAAGGTTTGTCATGGAAATTGCCATTATTGATACCATCCAGAAATTTCCAAGCCATTATCTAGTTATCCTATTATAAGACAGTGAAAGAGAACCACTGTCGGAGCATTCCCAGACGGACCTCCAGCATTGGAAACAGCTGCATGATGGAGAAGATTAGCCTGCCAGCATTCTTTGCTTTCTTTACCTAAATGTGATTTCTTGTCCTAATTCCTTAGTCACATAGTGCTTATTAGCGCTTGTCTTGACGTATCATTGAAAGGTTTTGTCAGGCTATGGTGGCTTTCTGGTTTATTTAAGTTTAGCTAGCTAGTCAAATAAGTGCCACCAAATTGGACCAACATGACTAGTGGAAACTGGTGTCCAGCACAGGGTTAGCACGCATAAATATAAATATGCCAATGGACTTCCTGTGATCAATAAACATAAAATAGACACCACATTCTCATTTGTAGCGGATTTGGTTAAACATTTGTAGCCAAAACCCTTTTTTCGGACAGCGGCCATATTGTATTTAGGGAATTTGGGGAGTCCTGATATACCCAATCATAAATGGAAGTATTCATATGGGTTTCCCATAGCCAGAAAAGGTAAAATAGGCATCAAGTTTGTATTTGTATCTCATCTGGCTCAAAAGCTATAGTCGAATCCCTTTTAGGCGGCCATATTGGATTTAGGGAATTTGGGGAGTCCTGATATACCCAATCATAAATGTAAGTATTCATATGGATTTCCCATAGCCAGAAAAGGTAAAATAGACATCAAGTTTGTATTTGTGTCTCATCTGGCTCATAAGCTATAGTCGAATCCCTTTTAGGCGGCGGCCATATTGGATTTGGCCGCCATCTTGGTCTCAGGGACCATTGGCTTGGGTGCCCTGGCTGAATCATTTCTGTATGCCCTCAGCTACATCTGTGCCAAATTTGGTGCTTGTAGATGAATTTGCGCGAACAATGGTATGTAAGGCCCCATTCTACAGCCCAATCTACTTTTTTGGACAGCGGCCATATTGGAATTGGAGGATCAAGGGGTCCAAATATACTGGGTCATAAATATAAACATTTCGATGTGTTTTCCATGATCAATTAAGCTGAAAAACATAGCAAGTTTGTATTTGTAACTCATGTGGTTCAAAAGTTATAGCCGGAACCCTTTTCGGGCAGCGGCCATATTGGATTTGGCCGCCATCTTGGCCCCGAGGGCGGCTGGCTCCGGCGCCCTAGCGAAATCATTTCAGTATGACCCGAGCTACATCTGTGCCAAATTTGACGCTTTTAGATGAATTTGCGCTAAATTACCTATTTATGTGCTTAAGGCCCCCAACTAACACCCTTTTAGGCTAGTTTAAGCTGTTTTTATGTTGACTACATTTACATTTATTCATTTAGCTGACGCTCTTATCTGAAGCGACTTACAATTGCTATATATGTCAGAGTTCGCACGCCTCTGGAGCAACTAGGGGTTAACGCCGCCTTCACACTGGCAGTTGAAATCAGCTCCGATGCGGCTGCGAAACGACCGGAAGTCATTCATTTCCAATGGAGATTCGCAGACCGCATGCGAATGGGTCCGAAACGGGTCCGACCGAGTGCGTTGCGAAGAAAATCGTGTCCGTTGGTCATCCGGATGCGTTCAAAAATTTGAACTCGTGCGAAAAGCTACGGACGGTTCCTATCCGACAATTCCAGCGGAAGTTGACCGTTGCTATGGTACTGATAAACAAACCTGAATTATTAACTTTTAATAAAATAAATAATGATTTTATAACGATAAGTTGTCATGTCATTTTTTATTTTCACGACTTTCTAACGTTTATAAGGGCAGTTAATATATTAGTTGAAGGTAGACATAGAACTATTGACCACTATATCACATTGTTTAGCCGACCCTCGACCTGACCCTCGACCTGACCCTCATCAGAGAGTTCATACAGAAATGACAGAATCAACCTTTAATCTCTCCGCCATTTTTGTTCTACCCGCGTCCGACGCTTTTCACTGTGTAGTACGACGTCCGTTGGGAACGTATTGCGTATTACGGAGCTGATTTCAACTGCCAGTTTGAAGGCGGCGTAAGTGTCTTGCTCAGGGACACATTGGTGTCTCAAAATGGATTCGAACCCAGATATCTCACACCAAAGGGCATGTGTCTTATCCACTGAGCCACCACACCTTGGCTAATGGTTTGAGATGGTATTTTACCCCAGAAAAGTCTGTTGTAGCACATCCCAATGTTTTATTCATGTATATATCTCCCACAATCAGACTACCGGACCGGGCCGTGCTTCACACAGGTCAACAACCAGATGTGCCAGGGTCAGCTAAGTGGCATCGTGTGCACCAAGACATTGTGTTGTGCCACCATTGGCCGAGCGTGGGGTCACCCGTGTGAGATGTGCCCTGCCCAACCCCAACCTTGCCGAAGGGGTTTCATTCCCAACATCCGCACTGGTGCATGCCAAGGTAAGGTATCTGATCCAATAGCTCTTTCCATCTCAGTGTCTGTTTGTTGAATTCTTGCCCTAATGACCAGCCTGACACGGCAGATGACACTACCCAGACAGCAAACTGACATTGAATCAACGTGGAAACGACGTCTCTCATGACATTGAAACAACGTTGAATTGTTTTGCTTTCATAACGTTGAAACAACGCGTTGATTTCAAGTTGATTTTCCGTTAGTTTTGAAAGAATGACGCGTCTGACGTTGGTTCAACGTTAATTCGATGAGCAAAACAATGTCAGATCAACGTTGTTTCGATGTCATATTTCCACGTTGATTCAATGTCAGTTTGCTATCTGGGTAAGACATGGCCTCTCTAGGGTAAACCAAACCACTCCAGTCCATGTCCAAAAGGACACTTCCCCATTGTGTTTCTTAGTAGCGTCAAATATTTAGAAGACTTCCATTAGGGGTACTTTAAATGGGATTATGTAATGGCTTGTCACATTTATTTACAATTATGGGCGTGTTGTTTGATTTTCAAGGACATGATTGAATTATAATCACATTATACATCTTATTCACTTTGCTCATGAATTTAGGTAAGGTAGCAGTTTTTTTTTTTGGTAAACCTTTCCTTTGCAGTGGGTGCAAGCTGTTTTATAGTATAATATTAAAAACTGCTCTTCAAGTCCATTTGCTTCATCCTCATAGAACATTTCGTGAGCCAAAATACCAAATGCCACCCAGTCTTCACATATCATCTCAAAGACGCCCCTCCTAAAAGACGTGATTATAAATGTCTCCTCTTTAACTTTTCCTTTTTATTCTTTTCAATATACAACATAAGCGACAGCTCCAAGTCTGGCCTGGATTTGCCTAAAGACGGAGTGCTTTTGCAAAAGTCTGTCTGGCAACAGTACAAAGCACACACATGTGGTAGGATTTGTGTAACGTGCATTGGGCTTTCCAGAGTCTCTTTGCGTTCAATGGCATTGAATAGGAGAAGTTATTTTAGGACAATATTAGTAGACAGACCTGATTGGATACAGGTTAAGTCAATAAGTAAAAAAGTAAATCAATGTAAAGAAACAGGGCAAAACAGATAAATGCAGTTTTTGCGAGCCAGCCAAATATGTAAGTGCCGCTCAACCACAACAAAATATATCTGTAGTTGTTCCATGAAGTCTTAAAGCGATGACTTTAACTGTTTAACCGTCTCGAATATCCTTAAAGTGATTGAAACTCATAATTGATCCGATGCTGCTTTTGTCGTCAAAACTAGTATTTCCTTTCCAAACAAAATACTGTATATATTCCAGTGGTGGAATGTAACGAAGTACAAATACTTTGTTACTTTACTTAAGTACATTTTTCACGTATCTTAAGTAGAATAAATAGTGCATACTTTTTACTTTTACTTCGTTACATTTTGCAGCAATTATTCTACTTTCTACTCCACTACATTTCTACAACTTCTGTTACATTTTCTGATCAGTTTTTCCCCTGCCAAAACGTAATCTGACCGTCCGTTTGTTGCACGTTTGTCTCACCAGTGACGTTTGGTTGCCATAGATACATCAACTAAATGCGTCTCGCACGCAGTGTGTTTATCGTGCAATTTATACGCGAAAATTTGTTTTTACGTGCATAGGAAACGCACTTTGTGTAATATACGTTTGGTTAGGATTATGGCAAGCCAAGAGGTTCAGAATAACACCATAAATTAATCGCGTTTACTGCCAAACATAGTTATTAACATATAGTAAGGATAAGTATGATGCGTAGCTTGCCTAAAACTATTTTTTTCCTTCATTATTGAACATCATTATAGGAGTATTAGGTTGAATGAGTTACAATTAAATGTTTTATTAATCATTAGAAAATAGACATTAAGAAAATAAATTATGCAAGTACTTTTACTTTTAATACTTAAAGTACATTTAAAATCAGGTACTTTTTACTTAAGTATGGTTGTCATTGTGTTACTTCTACTTTTACTAAAGTAAATATTTATCTGGATATTTGTACTTTTACTTAAGTACTGAGATTCAGTACTTCTGATATATTCTGAAAAGTAGCGTTCACACTCGTATACGGGTCTAATGTGTTTGCTTACGCTCTTCTCCTCACCCTGTTAGACGTGGACGAGTGTCAGGCCGTCCCGGGACTGTGTGCTGGAGGAAACTGCATTAACACCGTGGGCTCGTACGAGTGCAAATGTCCCGCGGGTCACCGGCAAAGTGAGACCAGCCAGAAGTGCGAAGGTACGTCGCTCACTGCACAAACCCAAAACCTGTCAGAAAACAGCATGAAACATGATCATGATCTCACTCCTGTTCATTACTCACCATTGGAAAGGAAAGTCCTGCACTTGGCGGTTTCATCGACATTGTAGGCTTTCCAAAGATGTTGACGTCAGTGGATTTCCAGCTGGAAATTGGCATGTAAATGTAAGGTGTACCTGCTTGACTAAGTTACAGGATTAAAAACCAAGTCTTTAGGGTCTTTGACAATAGATCGTGCCGCTTGTGTGGAATTTAAACAATGCCGAGTGAAAACAAACAGCGTGTTGTAAAGCGGGGGTCTGCTTTTCTTGGATCCAACCCTAGACAGAGCGATTTTTTTAGGTTATTCCATACCTATCAGATATTTCTTTTTTATTTATCGCCTATTTTAATTATTAGAATATGTGTTATATTGGTTTTTATTAAAATGCATTTATTCGAAATTATTATTTTATTTTATTTTATTTTAAATAGCAAATGTGAGCATTGATTACAGCTTGCATTTTCCTTTTCCAAGCAGTCTTTTCATGAAAAGAGTCCTAGCAAAGGTACAATATTCTGTTTCTTAGATTCATGTTTCATAATGTTTGTCAGAAAATTCTTGACTAGAAACACAAAAGAGTCAGTTGTTGACATATATTAAAGGGATAGTTCACTTTGAAATACATTTTTGGTATGTTTTGACTTACCTCAAGGGCATCCAAGATGTAGGTGTCTTTGTTTCCACAGTATTTTCAATTTTGATATTTTTAGGTCAAACCGTTCTTGTCTGTCAGTCATATAATGCAGGTCTATGGTCACCACCTCAAAGATCATGCACAGAGAAGTCCAAATTAAACATGATTTAATGACTCGTAAATGTAAGTACACATTGATGGCCTAAGACACGAAACGAGCGGTTTGTGTGAGAAAACGAACGGTATTTATACCGTTTTACCTTTGTAATCACAGCCACGTCCAAGTGATCTGAGGGCGCGGGCGCTTCGGTCTGCACAAGCGCCGGAAAGCGCCGGAAGTGATCTTTCAGTTTTGAAAGATCATTTAAAAATCGGTTGCGAAAAAAAAAACGATTGCGAAAAAAAAAAAAAAAATATCGGAAAAATCTAAATCGGTTGCGAAAAAAAATTCAACGTTGTCTGTTGATGTATCGAAATCGTCTTCTATTGCGATTTCCTGTATATCTAAATATGTTTAGATCTTCACAGTGAAGGGTAACCCTTCCGAAATCTCTGTGTAAACAATGAGTGACGTACATGCGCGAAAGATCACTTCCGGCGCAAAAAAATGCTCGTTTCGTGTCTTAGGCCATCAATGTGTACTTACATTTACGAGTCATTAAATCATGTTTAATTTGGACTTCTCTGTGCATGCTCTTTGAGGTGGTGACCATAGACCTCCATTATATGACTGACAGACAAGAACGGTTTGACCTAAAAATATCAAAATTGAAAATACTGCGGAAACAAAGACACCTACATCTTGGATGCCCTTGAGGTAAGATAAAACATACCAAAAATTAATTTCAAAGTGAACTATTCCTTTAAGTGAAACTTTTATTTATTTATTTAACTTTATTTAACCACAGTTTTCAAAAAATGTTCAAGTTAAGTGTGTAAAATGATAAGATTTGGCGCACTTCCATTGGGAATCCTGACCCTCGAGGTTATTAGTTTATCTCCTAATCACATTTTGACCCCGAATGACGTGGACATTGCTAAAACAACGGTTTGGAGAAGAAGCAGACCTCTGTCTGCAGGCTTCACCCTAGTAGACGTTTTCTCAAGGAAACGAGAGAGAAACTTCTGCAAATTAGATGCTCAAGTGATCACTAAAACACCCTGAACTTTGGGTAGGAATAGAAGTGCTCCTCTGTTCTTTGAAGCTGCGTGGAGGTGGTAGTTGTGGGGCACTTAATTACAAGACAATGATGTGGTGGAAAAAGTCTCGCCCCGGGCCAGGAGGTGCATAAGGCATACGTCGTACTGCTTACAGGGCACTTTCTGAGGAGAGACATCAGTTGCAGAACGTTTCGGAGAAAGTACCTCTGGAAAGTTGAAAATGTAACGCTAAGTTTGGTAACACTTTATTTTACAGTGTTGTTACCCATGTAGGAACTGTAGTAATAACGAACCGCAATCCTAAACCTACAGTATAGTTGGTACATGTAGTTAATTATTATATTTTTTAATGTCTTTATAATAATGACATTGTAAGAACTCAGAATAGCCATTTTTAAGTTCTGATGCTATAGACGAACCTTATTTATTAAATCATACGGATTGAAAAGTTAGGTAACACTTTATTTTACGGTGTCCGTGATACAGAGTAAAAGGTACTATATTTCGTTATTACAACTTAAAATATTCTCTTACGGCATCAAGCTGTAAAAACCTTTAATTTGAACCATTTTTAGTCCAGTTAATTGTGCAGCGAGTCAAGGAACCCAAATAATGGTGCTAAAAGGTCTTAAACATGCTTTTTTACAATGAAAAGCTGAACCAAACATAATAACATTTTATCAAACACTCTCAGAAAAAAAGGTAAAAAAGCGGTCACTGGGGCTGTTCCTTTTCAAAAGGTACACCAAAGGCTGCATATTGGTACCTTAGTGGTATATATTAGTACCTAAAATGTACATATTACAACCTAAAATGGACATATTACCACCTAAAATGTACATATTACAACCTAAAATGGACATATTGCCACCTAAAATGTACATATTACAACCTAAAATGTACATATTACAACCTAAAATGGACATATTAACACCTAAAATGGACATATTAGTACCTAAAATGTACATATTGACACCTAAAATGGACAGATTATCACCTAAAATGTACATATTAGTACCTAAAATGTACATATTAGCACCTAAAATGTACATATTAGCACCTAAAATGTACATATTTGCACCTAAAATGTATTAACACCTAAAATGTACATATTAGTACCTAAAATGTACATATTAACACCTAAAATGTACATATTAACACCTAAAATGTACATATTAGCACCTAAAATGTAAATTTTAACACCTAAATTGGACATATTAACACTTAAAATGTACATATTACCACCTAAAATGTACATATTAGTACCAAAAATGGACATATTAGCACCTAAAATGTACATATTAGCACTCAAAATGTACATTAACACTTAAAATGTACATAACACTTAAAATGTACATATTAGCACCTCAAATTGACAAAAGTTTACCTTTTGAAAAGGTACAGGACCAGTGACAGCTTTTGTACCTTTTTTTCTGAGAGTGAAGCCCCTGCAATGCAAAAACGTCAAAAAGTAGGCCTACTCTCCTGATGTACAGTTACTGCGGCAGTCATTAGCAGACGCTTCGCCCTGAGTAAAGTCTGCCTCTGGGGTTTGTTTTCCAGAGGTTTTTATGACTTCAGCTGGGCCGTTTTCAGCTGCTGTGGGACTCCCGCTTTCCAACACACGAACACATCAAACACTTAATCGCTCCTCATGCTCTTCCCACATCCCGCCTCAATCTCATGCGACAAACCCGACGCACAACATCCACATATAATTTTACTAAATAAATGTAATTGCACGTGTGTATAAATATAAGAACGACACGCAATACAAACCATCCAACCGCTTTACCATCTGTTGACCTTCGGGTTGAGTTAGCGCCCGTAGTCACTTTACGGACCACAAGGAGGTGCCGATTGCTTCTCCTACTATAGATGAGATGTTTCTCCTCTTAGACAACGGGAGTAATATCAAGTGTGTCTCCTCTCGTTTGGTTCATTCTGTTGGGTTTCAACTGGAAGACTTTAGTGTTATACTTCCCAAACCAAACCAGTTTACTTCTGAAAGAAAAGAGTGTGTGATAAGAGCTTAAAAAGGTTTTTGCGATGGCATCGAATAAGCTTTTTTAAGTTATTTTGCTGCATGAAACCTTGCAAGTTCTCGGGTCATAAAATAACCTTTTTGCTACATCATATGAATTTACAAAGGCTCTTCTATGGCATTATACAAATGTAAAAATATCCTTTTAAGTTCTTAATTCAGGAAATTAATAAGTCCTATGATGGCGTTACAGAAACATAAAAAGGTTATTCAGTGACATCGCAATAACAAAGTTCGGTAACACACAATTTACAGTGTTCTTGTTACATATTTTATGTGTATATTTACCAAATAATAACAGTAAATTATGCATAATTACATGCAACAAACCCTAAATCAAACCCTAATCCTAAGTACATGTAGTTGCTTAAATTACTGAAATATTTACTTAAAATATATTTTTTAAATTTATCTTAAAAATATATAATTACACCATAACAATGACAGCTTAAAATAAAATGTAACCCTAATTTCTTACACTAAAAAAGTTGCTGCCTACGTTAAGTATACTCAACTTAAATGTTTAAGTCATTTCAACTTAAATTGCATTAAACTGACTTAAAATGAGTTGAATCTTGTAACATTGAATTTTGTATCTTGTAAATAACTTGCATAAATTGCTTGATTTATTTTGATGAATTGACGGAGTGTAAAAGCATATGTTGTTATAACTTATTGATCATATAATGTTTTACAGTGAGGTCATGAAAGAACTAAGAAACGCATCACTGCTTGTTTTACGTGTTTGCGTTTCAGATATCGACGAATGCACAACCATATCCGGAGTGTGTGACGGCGGAGAATGCACCAACACCGCCGGCAGCTACGTGTGCACCTGTCCGCGCGGATACATCACCAGCACAGACGGGTCCAGATGTGTCGGTGAGACTCTTTCATCCTCACACACACATGCACACACACGCTTGTTCCCGTGACCTCACGCTCCTGAGCCCCGCTTCACATCGCCTGTGTGACTCACAGGATGAACTTTTGTCAACCACTTCAAGTCCGGGAAAGTGTGTGTATAGTACTAGTATCGTAAATTACCTTTACCAGCAAACAGGGCAGAAATGTTGTTTTAAAAATCGAAATAAACCTAGTTTGGATGAGCTATTTTTTTATAGTGGCGCTAAATGGAATTGCAATTTTTTGAGCAGACCTATTAAAAACACGATTAAAAAATGACACCTTTATTTTAAGATTCATTGTTATAGTGTAATTATATATTTAAGTTCTGAATAATATTACTTACTTAATTACTTAATAGTATTTACTAAAGGGTTAGTGTATAGCATTAGGGTTTGGTTTGCTCAACCAATAATGTGAGTTTGACTAAGGACAGTATTATTAGTTTTAGCAATATTTTGAATCAGCTTTAATATGTATATTTTATGTTAATTATTTTATTAATTCCTGTATGTGCATTTATATTTGTATTTTATGTTTGTAATTTATGTTTAGTTTTTATTTATTTCGAGTTAATAATTGTATTGCAATAATTGTATTACAAATATTTATTGCAATAATTGTATTACAAATATTTCCGTTAACTGCAATAAAAAATATTAGTTGAAAAACTTAAAATGAAAATTAAAAATGTTTAATTTCTTAAATTGCGTCTCAAATTATCTGCGTCTCAAATTAACATTTTTTTAATTTTAATTTAAAGTTTTTCCAACTAATATCTTTTTATTGCAGTTAACGGAAATATTTGTAATGTTTATGTTAATACGTTTAAGTTGAAGCAATACAATTATTAACCTGAAATAAACCCGGAAATATTTTTATAGTCTTAGGTTAGGTTAGGATTATTACTATGTTAGTTTGTCTAAATCTTGACTTGACAATATTTTTGACATTGCATTTTGTGCTCTTACAAATTGGGGTGTTATTTTGAGAATTTACAGATTGTTCATTCATGTTTACGTTAATATCTTGCTAAATTTATTGCAATCTTTGTTGTTAGAAAACTTAAAATAGTTGGTTAATTTTAGCAAAAAATGGCTCTTCTGCAGCTTCGCATAAACGTAAAGTTAATCAATGGCATCATAAGATTTTACAAGAACATTTTGAATTCATGTGTCATAGGAGAGCATCATTAATGTATTATAAAGTTGTAGTTGTCAGGCTGTAAATTATTATTTGTTTAAATCCTTGATAATTCTTTTTTGTAAAGTGAAAGACGAGTGTTGCATTAATAAGGACATATCTTGCTCAAGGACATTTCTCTGTGCAGGATATGATTGCGAAATGAAATTAATTAAAAAACCCGGGTTGTCTTGACATCTGTTGGGCGAAATATATCTTGCAATGATTGTTGTTCTACAATAAGAAAAAAAGGTTTGTTTTCTTAATCTTTAATCAGGACTTTCTGGGAAACACAAGCAGAGACAACTTCTGCATAAAGTATTCTTAAGAAAAAAAGTTACAATATTATTGGTTTTACAAAATATAAATTCGGCTTGTTTCAACCGTTCTGCCCTTAAAAATGAACTTTCTTTTCTGTCGACGTCACAAAGTTCACATGCACTGACAAATATAAATGTCGCCATTTAATCAGTTGTGCAAAGGAAACCGTTTAAATCCAGAATAACTAGTCTTTCTTTAGTTTGAAGCCAGGAATAGTTTGTGAACGGGTCTCGATCGGGGATCAATCATCAGACACATGGATGCTATTTCCTCCTGCTAGCATTCCTGTACAGTGAGGCAAACACACTGTTGACTCTGGCAGGGCCTTTTCCCTTCACTGTCCATTTCCCTCACACTCCCTTCTATATATATATATATATCTGTGTATATCCATCTCTTTTTATACTCGCCGCCTTGAGTTTCTCACTCCGGCCGCCCCATACGCCTCTCGTGACCCCCTGATCTGACGGGTCCCCGAGTGCGAATAAAGAAACGTGAGATATCGGCCCTTGATGACGCGTTGACGTGGCGCTCATACATTCCCAGGAACACGTCTGGATTTGCAGTAAATGTTAAGTGAACATATGGATCCTGTCATGGTGGAGAACGCGGGCAATCTGTATGTTGACATACACAATTAAAGGAGTAGTTCACTTTTAAAAAAAACTTTTGCTGATAATTTACTCACCCCCATGTCATCCAAGATGTCCATGTCATTCTTTCTTCGGTCGAAAAGAAATTAAGTTTTTTGATGAAAACATTCCAGGATTTTCTCCATATAATGGACTTCAATGGGGTCCAAACGGTTCAAGGTCTAAAAAAAAGTTTCAGTGCAAACTACAAACTATTCAAAGGGCTTTAAACGATTCCAGACGATGAATAAGGGTCTTATCAAGCGAAACGATCGCTCATTTAATAAATAAATAACAAAGTTTAAGTTTTATAAGCTCTAATTCTCGCTTTGTTCTGTGATGCACGTTCGTGACTCTCCTGTTCGAACTCGTTCATCAAAGTGAACAAATCTTTTTCCGAGTCATTTCGTTCCTTGAATCAACCAAATCACACGAAAAAAGATTCGTTCATTTGATAAACGAGTTCGAACGTGAAATCAAATATTATCCGTTACTATTACTTTGAAAAGAAATGAAGGTTTTTGATGAAAACATTCCAGGATTTTCTCCATATAATGGACTTCAATGGGGTCCAAACGGTTCAAGGTCTAAAAAAAAGTTTCAGTGCAAACTACAAACTATTCAAAGGGCTTTAAACGATTCCACACGATGAATAAGGGTCTTATCAAGCAAAACGATTGGTCATTTAATAAATAAATAACAAAATTTAAGTTTTATAAGCTCTAATGCTCGCTTTGTTCTGTGATGCACGTTCGTGACTCTCCTGTTCGAACTCGTTCATCAAAGTGAACAAATCTTTTTCCGAGTCATTTCGTTCCTTGAATCAACCAAATCACACGAAAAAAGATTCGTTCATTTGATAAACGAGTTCGAACGTGAAATCAAATACGATCCGTTACTATTACTTTCATAATGAGTGTTATTGGTTACTTCTAGGATACATTTGAAAATGCATCTTTTCTCTACATTTTGACCGTTTTTTTTGTCCTGCGAAATCTGACGCTTTGTTGTGTGGACTGTGAAAATTGAGATTTTAGTCACGCGACATTAGACATTATAGTTATGCCGACATTGTTGTGCCTGCTATTTAGTTTCATAGTGTTGTTAATAATATTACATTCCATTCATACCATATTACATTCATGCAAAGATGACCAAAATAAATTACAAAAAATTTGTGTTTTAGACCAATAAAATGATCGTGGCAGAAGAACTTTATTATGTCTAGTCTGGAGTGTTTAATGCATTTTACGCAATCACAGGAAGATGTTTTAAGCATTAACCGATGTTTCGGGGTGGATGAGAAAGTTTCGGAAAGTGCTAGTGTGGACGTCGTTCTAATATGCATCCGTAGACGCAGCCATCGTGAGCATTTCCAAACGCGTTCTCACCCGAGGGCGTCATATAGTGACGCTTTTGATATCTCGTGTAAAACCAATGCACATGGCACCCTTTAGCGTCAATATAACACGCTTCGGTTATGGGTAGGTTTAGTTCTGGGGTAGGGATAGGGTTAGACCACTAGGAGGCGCCTCTGGCGCATATATATCTGCGTCTAGCATCTCAAATTGACTCTACAGGGTGCCATGTGCGTTGGAAGTAGACGTAATCTCAAAATCGTCAGTATATGACGCCTTTGGATGAGAACGGGCTGGCATTTCATCAGTGCAAGTTATTCCAAAGAAGCTGCGAATGCAGACGAGCTGTTCAGACATTGTTTAGGCCTGAAACCAGTGGCGGAAAAGTTTCGTGCTATCTTTGCATTCGCCCCCTGGCTGGTGCTCTGTATCGCACAGAACCAGGCCGTAGGGAGTCGTTTAGCCTGACGCTAATCAGCGTTAATGCACTGTCGAGACACTAGAAATCTCACGTCAGAAGGTCTGGTTCCAATTGAAGCCAGCATTCCCATCACCACGCCGGGTCGATCCCAGGGGGTTGCAGTTCTGGAGTGAGTGCCTGCAACAACCAGACCAAGGGTTGTGTCCGACGTAATTGACCAAGATTACTCCACACGGACTTGATTTATGGCAGAGTGCTGGCTCATTAGTCGAGTTAATCGACTTTCACCCCCTTTTCCACATGGTTCAGACACACTAATGTAGCTGTGTATGCAAACTAGTACCCGATCTCAACCAGCCCTCTCGTTGACCTTGACTGGCTGAAGCGTCCCATCTCAACCTTGTTCCCGAAGCATGCTTTGAGTCCTCCAGTGGCCTTCCCAAGCTCCCACCTCATAAATTAACTTCCTGCTTGGGGACTGTGTAAAGGCCATGCAAGGGCCTGACTTCCTGTGAAGTGTGACTGTACTCTCGAGAAAAGCATTTGTGGTATTTGGAGGTTAAAGCACATTTGAATAGGAGAATTTACATACAACATATTCTGTGTATAGTATAATAGGTAACACTTTACAATAAGATTCGTTAGTTAACATTAGTTAACACGAACTAATAATAAACTGCACGTATACAGCATTTATTAATCTTTGTTAATGTTAATTTCAAATCGTGTTAACATTAGCTAATGCACTGTGAACTAACAATGAACAAGTGTATTTTTATGAACTAACTAACGTCAACAAAGATGAACTATTACAGTAACATGGATTGGTCGTGGTTAACTAAAGTTAACTAATGAACCTTATTGGAAAGAGTTACTGTATAAAATGAGCATATTGTAAACAGTATAGTATGCTGATCTCTCTCTCGCTCTCCGTCACAGATCACCGGGTCGGTACGTGTTTCTCGTCTTTGTCGAACGGCCGCTGCGCGGGTGAATTGTCCGGTCAGTACACCAAGGGACAGTGTTGCTGCGACACGGGCCGCTGCTGGGCCCTCGGACACATCCCAGAGATGTGCCCCGTCAGAGGATCTGGTGAGTAGGCTAATGCTAATCACTAGCAGTGTTTGCTAAGTCAAAGGTTACTACCACTATTGCTAATATCAGACAGTTTCAGCACTTTTTAGTCCTTTTTAATGGCATCCCAGTTCGCTTATTGATCCAATATTCTATGCCGTTTGTAGTATAAATAGTGTGAAAAGTGAAAATTCCACTGTTCGTACTGAAAATTCCAAAAATTCTGAACATTTTCCAAAAAGATAAAGTGATGCACTTAACTAACCGGGAATGGAATGTTGTGGAATGATGGACGCTTAATGCGCTCAACTGTCACAGCTTTCCTTATAAGGGAAGGGGGAGGGGCTAACAGACTCTGGTGTTGAATGACTAAATAACCGTATAAATTTCAAATGCGTAGTGTGTAGCATGTCATTAGCGACTCGCGTCTGTTGGTTTTAAGGCTAACATCTGTATGCTAGCATCCCAGATAGCAAACTGACATTGAATCAACGTGGAAATATGACATCGAAACAACGTTGATCTGACATTGTTTTGCTCATCGAATTAACGTTGAACCAACGTCAGACGCGTCATTCTTTCAAAACTAACGGAAAATCAACTTGAAATCAACGCGTTGTTTCAACGTTATGAAAGCAAACCAATTTTCGATTTTCATTTAGCTTTGAAGAATGCCGCGTCTGACGTTGGTTCAACGTTAATTCGATGAGCAAAATCAACGTTGTTTCAATGTCATGAGAGACGTCGTTTCCACGTTGATTCAATGTCAGTTTGCTGTCTGGGATACCTCTAAAATATATTAGCAAGTATTAAAATGAGTACATTTCCAAAAATACTAATGACATCATCCTGGGTCTATATTTTTCCCAATAAAATGGTTTCTTGTCAAAGGTTACTACTACTATTGCTAATACCAGACAGTTTCAGCACTTTTTATAACTTTTTAATGGCATCCCAGTTCGCTTATTTATCCACTATTCTATGTCGTTTGTAATGTAAATAGTGTGAAAAGTGAAAATTCCACTGTTCATACTGAAAATTTCTAAAATTATGAACATTCCAAAAAGATAAAGTGATGCACTTAACTAACCGGAAATGGAATGTTGTGGAATGTTGGACGCTTAAAGCGCTCAACTGTCACAGCTTTCCTTATAAGGGAAGGGGGAGTGGCTAACAGACTCTGGTGTTGAATGACTAAATAACCGTATAAAATTCAAATGCGTAGCGTGTAGCATGTCATTAGGGACTCATGTCTGTTAGTTTTAAGGCTAACATCTGTATGCTAGCATACCCCTAAAAGATATTTAGCGAGTGTTAAAATTAGCAAATTTCCAAAAATACTGATGACATCATCCTGGGTCTATATTTTTCCCAATAAAATGGTTTCTTGTCAAAGGTTACTACTACTATTGCTAATACCAGACAGTTTCAGCACTTTTTAGAACTTTTTAATGGCATCCCAGTTCGCTTATTTATCCAATATTCTATGTCGTTTGTAATATAAATAGTGTGAAAAGTGAAAATTCCACTGTTCATACTGAAAATTCCAAAAATTCTGAACATTCCAAAAAGATAGAGTGCACTTTAAATGATGCACTTAACTAACCGGAAATGGAATGTTGTGGAATGTTGGACGCTTAAAGCGCTCAACTGTCACAGCTTTCCTTATAAGGGAAGGGGGAGGGGCTAACAGACTCTGGTGTTGAACGACTAAATAACCGTATAAAATTCAAATGCGTAGCGTGTAGCATGTCATTAGCGACTCGCGTCTGTTGGTTTTAAGGCTAACATCTGTATGCTAGCATACCTTTAAAATATATTAGCAAGTATTAAAATGAGTAAATTTCCAAAAATACTGATGACGTCATCCTGGGTCTATATTTTTCCCAATAAAATGTTTTTTTGTCAAAGGTTACTACTACTATTGCTAATACCAGACAGTTTCAGCACTTTTTAGAACTTTTTAATGGCATCCCAGTCCGCTTATTGATCCACTATTCTATGCCGTTTGTAATATAAATAGTGTGAAAAGTGAAAATTCCACTGTTCATACTGAAAATTCCAAAAAGATAGAGTGCACTTTAAATGATGCACTTAACTAACCGGAAATGGAATGTTGTGGAATGTTGGACGCTTAAAGCGCTCAACTGTCACAGCTTTCCTTATAAGGGAAGGGGGAGGGGCTAACAGACTCCAGTGTTGAACGACTAAACCGTATAAAATTCAAATGCGTATTGTGTAGCATGTCATTAGGGACTCACGTCTGTTGGTTTTAAGGCTAACATCTGTATGCTAGCATACCCCTAAAAGATATTTAGCGAGTGTTAAAATTAGCAAATTTCCAAAAATACTGATGACATCATCCTGGGTCTATATTTTGCCCAATAAAATGGTTTCTTGAATGAAAACGTCCCACCTGGCTCTGAATAGCGATAAGTGTAGTTAACGGCTGAAAGTTGGTCAAACTATTTCTAAAAAGAACCAGACTTCCTTTTTCAACAGGATGTGCAACAATAGAGCAAGTTATTGTGTGGTATTTGAGTGTAGTTTTGAACCGCATAAACTTTAAATTACGTTATGATCCTGATTGATACGGCATTACAACAAAAACATCATTTCAAAAGGAGGAGTTTCTTCAGGTGTTCGACCTTTGAAGAATCGCTCCTCACTGTAAAATCCCGATAAACACGTGTCAGGTCAGCAGTGATCTTCTCTCAGGATAATAAAACGCTCTCTCTCAGTCCCACACCTTCACACCCCAGTGTTTTACGCTCTTCCCTCCTCTTTGACACCGCCATGTTTCATCCGCAGGAATGCATGAGCCTGCCAAATCCGCGGCTAACGCTTTGATTTTTCTTCTTTCAGTCAGTAAAGCTCAGTCTGCGCATTATCTACTTGTTGCTTTCCATGTTGAGCAACTTATATAAAATGTATTAGTTGCAACATGATATACAGGCAAACCTAAATGCATTCACACACCTTCAACATTTCTCACATTATCAAAGTTTATTTGCTGCAGCTTAGAAAATGTTGATCAAGAACTCGTAAATTGCAATTTAAAAACGATGTCTTCCTGTGATTGGCCGCTTGTATTGTTGATTTGTAGATGAATACAGGCGACTGTGCATCCAGAGGCTTCCTTTTGGCACCGGCATCATCCACGACGGCAACAGCGGTCTGAACATCGGCGGTTACGGCAAAGGACCTTCGCAGAACGGAAACAACGGCGGTGGCAGCTACATTTACGGCGGCGAACACAACAATGGAAACGGACACGGGAACGGGAACGGAAACAACGGCGGCCAGAAGATTCAAATCAGTGAGTTGAAATCAGTGAAATGACTCGCATGTTCGAAGCTGAGAAATGAACGGTGTGTTTTGGATTGCGCTCAGGCCAGCTGAACGAGACCACGATCGACGTGTGCAAGCATTTCACCAACCTGTGCCTGAACGGCCGCTGTATTCCCACACCGACCAGCTACCGCTGCGAATGCAACATGGGCTACAGGCAGGACGTGCGCGGCGAGTGCATTGGTGAGTCCACGTATTATTATTATTAACACAACGCGTTATTAACACAAACCCATTTTAACGGCGTTAATTTTTTTTATCGCGCGATTAGCAGTCTTTTTAGCCTAGCAAACTTTGTAGTTTTCTTTCACATACTTTTGCAACAGGACACCAGGTTTTTGTTGGTCAAGATGAGCACAAACGCATTTGCTATTTAAACAACGCAGGACGTGCGTTGAACGCCCACCAAACAGGCCGGCATTGGTTTGTGACGTCTAAAACCTATTTTATGCCAAACATTAAATATAAAATATAAATATAAATATTTAATATAAAAAATAAATATAAAATATAAAATAAAAATATATAATAAATATAAAATATTATTACAGTATTTAGTCTTATGCTTCGGGCCTAAATTATTATAATTATTTTTAAGAAATTTCGTACTCAAACTATAACTAAAAATTATACTTATAACTAAAAAATGCTTAAATACTGGTAAAAATGGTAAATGGACTGCATTTATATAGCTCTTTCATAGACCCAATATTTAAACAACGCAGGACGTGAAATGATAACTGCGTCGGGCTGAAACTAGCAAAGAACGCTTGCGTCGCTTGCATAGGGCCCATGGTCTAAAACAGGGGTGCCCAATCCTGCTCCTGCCGATCGACTGTTCATCTCCAGCCCTAATCAAACACACCTGAAGCAAACAATGATTCGGGCTGGAGATGAACAGTCGATCGGCAGGAGCCGGATTGGGCACCCCTGGTCTAATACGTCCTCTGCTGCCATCTGTAGGTGGTTTGCTTGACTGCCAGTATTTTAACTCATATATTTGATTAATAGTGCTGATAGGTTCTCCTACATCTGTCTTCTACCCTCAGACGTGGACGAGTGCAACAGTAGCCCGTGTGTGAACGGAGACTGCGTCAACACGCAAGGATCATATCACTGCAAATGCCACGAGGGATACCAGGGAACGCCCACCAAACAGGCCTGCATTGGTTCGTGACTTCTTATTCTGGTTTAAAACCAAAAACTCATTTAATGCCTAACATTTTTACATTCAAAATGTTTGAAGATTAAAAAACAGCCTTAAATGTAAAATATCATTACAGTATTTAGTCTTATGCTTCGGGCCTAAATTATTATAATTATTTTAAAGAAATTTCTTACTCAAACTATATCAAAAAATGCTTAAATACTGGTAAAAATGGTAAATGGACTGCATTTATATAGCGCTTTCATAGACCCAATGGCCACCAAAGCGCTTTACAACTTAAATACTAATTAGACAGTTAATGCATATTTTAATTTCAGAAAAAATATAAATATGTATTTTTTAATTCTGAAAGGCAAGATGATATTACTTATTTTAGTATTATTTATATGATTTATTGTTATACTATTATATTATTTATTAATAATTTTATTTTAGTAATTTTGTTGTGCTGTTTGTTATTTTTATTTCAGTTTTAGGAATTGTATTAACTTAAACTTGCTTTACAAAAATTACTGCAAATGCACTAAAATTATTTAAATAACTTAAATGAAAATTAGCAATTTAAAGTTACGTTTTTTTTTTTTTTTAATTTATATTTTATTTAATTTCAAGTTTTTAATTATTTTTAATAGTTTCAATTTTATTTTGAACACTAGATTTTTGTTTGTTACATTTTACATTTTAAAAGTTATTTTGCGTTACACACTAAACAGACAAAAAAACCTACCAAATATTGTGACAGTTTAATGTGAATAATCCATTTTCAATGAATCAAAGTCAGCATATATTCACTTACTGTATATGGCCCAGCGCCCTCTGGTGGACAACTGTAACTAATACATTCCTGTTGCTTCAGACATTGACGAGTGTATTGTGAACGGTGTTATGTGCCGAAACGGACGCTGTGTGAACACCGATGGAAGTTTCCAGTGCATCTGTAACTCTGGCTTTGAAATCAGCCCTGATGGGAAGAACTGCGTCGGTAAGAGCTTAAACTGCGACAGTCTGTGTTAAGATATCTGAAAAGCCTCATAAATATATATTTAATTATTTTTTTTCAATAACTTTTCATATTTTTTTGTTTTCAGACAAAATTTCATTGTTTGGTTGTACACTATAAAAACCTGCATTGAAATGTTTGAATAAAACGTTTCAGGGTTTGTGTTAAGGATTGGTGGAGAGTGTTAGAAGGTCCACATAATAGTTTTTCATGAATGATGACAAATCAATATAAACACGAATCAATATCCACCATTTGTTTTTATAGTCTAACTGTGTTTTCTTGTCCTCCAGACCATGATGAATGTGCCACCACCAACATGTGCCTCAACGGCATGTGCATCAACGAAGACGGAAGCTTCAAGTGCATCTGCAAACCTGGTTTTGCGTTGGCACCCAATGGACGCTACTGCACCGGTGAGCATGTGTGGGAGTTGACGGATTATTAAACGGTTAACTCACCCTCACGTCTGTCAAGCGCCAAAAAAATGACCAAAAAACAACTTAATAAAAGTGCCAAGAAAATAGTTTAGTAACATGTATGATACTGTATATTCTAAGTTTATATGCTAAGTCATACGATAGTTTTCTAAAATCTCATTTCCATTTGCGCATTTTTTGCAAGTTTGACGTCAAATCTTACGTAACGCATTTTGTATGTCTTCGGTTCATATGGTGGTAAGTCTTTAATCAAATTTGAAGTCGTTATTTTCTGAAAATCTATCATATGATGGTTTTGTGTGAGAAACTGATGGTAAATCGCCAAAATTGCGCATTTTTGTGAGTTTGACGTCAAATCTTACGTGGCGCGTTTTTGTTTCTCGCATCTGGTGAATATTTGTCAATGCAGTTTTAATAACCAAAATTTAAATCGCTATTGCGTAAATCGTATTTGCATTCGTGTATACATACGCTATATTGTCCTGAAATCATACGATCGTTATGTGCGAGAAACAGAGGGTAAATCGCTAAATTTTAGCTAAATTGCGTCAGTGGTGCATGTTTGGCGTCAACTGAGGAAAAGTCGTTAAAAAAAAGAACCAATTAGATTCGTTGTCACTGATGTCAAACCTCAAGACATATGACACTAGTTTTCATGTCAGTGAAGTCGCATCTCATGCCATGACGTATTGTTCGTATTGACGTATTGTTCGCTAACGTTTTACACCATTTCCTCCGTTTAACCCTGACAGACATTGATGAATGCCAGACCTCGGGCATCTGTATGAACGGCCGCTGCGTGAACTCCGAGGGCTCTTTCCGCTGCGAGTGCCCGCCAGGCCTGGCCATCGGCGTGGACGGGCGTGTCTGCATAGACACTCACATGCGCACCACATGCTACGGCGCTATAAAAATGGCACTTGTTCGCGCCCGTTTCCCGGGGCGGTGACGAAGTCTGAATGCTTGTTGCGCCAACCCAGAACACGGCTTTGGGGAACCCTGCCAACCCTGCCCGGCATTCAACTCAGGTAGACTGCAGGGATACACCTTCCAGTCCAGAACGATATTTTAATATTAACGCTAAATATGTTAGCTTTGACTTGTGTGCTAACATTTTGTTTGTCCGCAGCCGAGTTTCAAGCGGTGTGCAGCAGCGGACCTGGGATCACCGCAGATGGACGAGGTAAGTCTGTCTTCGTTACTTTGCTAGTACGTTTGTTAAACGCTAACGGACTCTATTAGATTTCTTTGTGAATGCTAAATGCTAACGAACTGTAATCACAGTAATTGGATTTCTTTGCGAATGCTAAATGCTAACGAACTCTATTAGATTTCTTTGTGAATGCTAAACGCTAACGCGCTGTCTTTGACTTCTTTGCGAATGCTAAGTGCTAACGAACTGTATTCGATTTCTTCGCAGACATCAATGAATGTGCTTTGGATCCAGACATCTGTCAAAACGGTATTTGCGAGAACTTGCGCGGGAGCTACCGTTGCATCTGTAACATCGGCTACGAGTCTGACGCTAGCGGAAAGAATTGCGTGGGTGAGTTGCGTTACTTTTTTAAAAAAGTTACGCAAAACGTAGCTTCTACTAATGTTTTGTTTTATGTACGAAATACATTTGAACAACATGCATTAACAAAAATTTTATTAATTTAGTGAATTTCTTGCGCATCTTTCAGACATAAACGAGTGTTTGGTGAATCGGTTGTTGTGCGACAACGGCATGTGTAGAAACACGCCCGGAAGTTACACTTGCTCTTGCCCCAAAGGATTCTCCTTCAAAGCCGATTCTGAGACGTGCGAAGGTAACTACGACTCCTTTTTTTCAAAAACCTTTTTTCATAAATTTATATCGTAATGTCATATATTTCGTTCAGACATCAACGAGTGCGACTCCAACCCCTGCATCAACGGCGTGTGCCGCAACATAGCCGGTTCCTTCAATTGCGAATGTTCCCACGGCAGCAAGCTGGACTCCACCAACACCATCTGCGTAGGTGAGTACGAACATTCGTTTTAGGCTCGTTTTCGTTTTCGTTCTAATACAGCGAGTTCTCTGATTGGTTAATCTCTTATCGATAGTTTCGTGGCTATTAAATGTTTTTAAAAATTGCTCAGAAGATGCTAAACAAGCAACCAGCCACTTTATTTCCTTTTTAAGGTAACTGGATAACATTCTGCTACTGTTACCCATTTCTAGCCAGGCGGTTTTTTTTTTATTCTTTGTCTGAAACCGAACATCGTTGATTGAAATTAATGGACTATGAAGGCAATAGGTCACGCGTTTGTGCTTTCAGGATGAATGCCCACTGTGATCTCATCCCGCTAGATATCCAAGTTGGTT